TTGGCAGCTCAGGCTCGGTTCAGGACAGTTGTCTGTCATGGTAAAGGAGGCCATAGTTGGCTGCTCCCCCCGCCCCCGCTCTTGTGTCACTGTCCCCTCCCATAGCCTCGAAGTCAGACCCTTCGTGGCAGATGGAGGAAGGAGGAGAGGCAAGAGGCAGGGGAGTTTTCACCCGATGAATCCTGCTGTGCGTTGGCACCGTGATCTCTGCTTCTGGCAGGTGTTTAAAGCTGGTTCTTCATCCTGTGGGCTCTTGTGTTGGTTTCTTGGGGATCCTACCGTCTCTCACTTGCACTTTCCTTGACATGGACAAATGGCATGGTCTGAGCTGTCCCCCACCTCACATGGCTTTCCCACCAGTCTGCCACGAGTCCTAAACAACACCATTAGGGAGTTTGCCTTTGGAGTAAGACATTGCCTCTTCAGGATTGCCTTGTCAAAGTTCCTTTGAGGGCAACACATCAAGTTATTATTCTGTTAGAGAATGAATTAGTGGTTTATCCTCCACGTTCTCACCATTGTGACAAGAAAGGCACATGCCTTTATATGAGGGAAGGGGTGCAGGTCTTTTTGATGTGGGGCTCCATACCCAGCCATAGCATACAACATTCCCAAACAAGAGTGTAAGGTCTTGAGCTCCTTTGAACTAGGACAATCAATGCCTGGTCCTGTTCTGCTCTTAGGTTCTTTAGTCCAAGCTGGAGTATTTCCAGCTTGGTGCCACACATTTAAGAGGGTTTGTTAACACTCACTGGAACATTTTCAGAAGATAGTTAATAAGGCAATAAGTGCTATAGTTTGAATATTTGTCCTCCCAAACCTCATGTTGAAATTTGATTCCCAGTGTTGGAGGTGGGGCCTAGTAGGAGGTGTTTAGGTCATGGGCAGATCCCTCATGAATAGATTAAGGCTCTGTAGGGGTAGGCGTGAGTGAGTTCCTGCACTATTAGTTCCCATGAGAGATGGTTGTTACAAAGAACCCAGCACCTTCTCCTGTCTGCTGCCTCCTCTCTTGCCACATGATCTCTGCGCACACAGGCTCCCTTCTCCTTCCGCCATGAGTGGAAGCTTCCTGAGGTCTTCACCAGAAGCAGACGTTGGTGCCATGCTTCTTATGTAGCCTGCAGAACCGTGAGCCAAATAAACCTCTTTTCTTTATAAATTACTCAGCCTCAGGTATTCCTTTATAGCCACACAAAAATGGACTGAGACAGTAAGAAAATGCAAAGCCATGACAACAAAAAAACTGTGGAAGGAAGTGGAATGTTTGTGGAAGGAAAAAAAAAAGGAAGATTTGGGGAAGACACAGTTTTCTGTTCTGGTGTATGACAGCCAGTCATGTGGATTTGTTCTCTGTGGCCCTGAAGAGCAGAACTGAGACTAAGTAAAGAGAAGGTAGATTTAATGAAGTCTGAGGTCTTGCCACTCTAACTCCACTGCAGGGACATCGTTGTCTCCGGAGAAAAGCAAAGGCTCAGTGGCCCTCCCATGCTTTTTAGCAATAGACCTCCAGATGTTGTGAAGATACATTAAAGTTTGAGAAGCATAGATTTAAGGATCATTCTCTCAGAGAGGGAACTTGGCAGTGAACCAGGTGGAGCTCTCAGAATATAGTTCCCTACAGAGTCAGGTGGAGTTGACATTCTGAAGAGCTTTGAAAAGTCAAAGCCACTGGGAAGCAGAGGGGCTGGTGGAGAGGTAGGTGGTCATGATCTCCCCGTTGTTGCTGACAAGTATGTGTTCACTTGTTAGGGCCATTAGCAGGAACTTTGGCAACCCAGAGAAGTAGGACCAAGGTGTCCTCTCTGGTCCCTTCCAGGCTGAGAATTATGGCCTGGAGGTGGCAGAGGACAGCCCTGCACAGCAGGAGAACAGATGCCCCAGAAGCTCTCGAGGGCCTCCCAGCGGTGGCAGTGAGGACACCAAGACAAAAAGAGGCTCTGTTAGAAGCAAGACCTCTTCCCATGAAGCAGAAGGAGGGCTCCTTCCACATCTCTTCCTCACACCCTTGAAACATACACTCTCCTTCCGAATGATCTTCTTTTCCTGTGTTTAGGGAGAAAAAAAACCTTCAGGCCTACTTCCTAAAACACAAAGCTCTTTATGTACGTGGTAGAGCAGCTCATCGGCAGCTCTGTCAGAAGTCACCAGATCACGATGGGGAAAATGTTATCTTACCTTTGTGTGTTAAGATGGCTCAAGTATATGTATGCTTTACTCAGTGCTTCTCACACTTTAATGTGCAAAACCACCGAGGCATCTTGCTAAAACGCAGATTCCTGTTGAGCGGGGCTGGCGTGGGGCCTGAGAGTCTGCATTTCTAACAGGCCCCTCGGTGATGTCAGTGCTGCTGGCCAGGCGGGGACCACACTGAGTGATGAAGTGTGGGCTGGCGGAGTCCTGCTCACGGAGGGGAATTTATTTTGGGTTTTCAGCAAAATAAATCTATCTTGACTAAGGAGGTTCTTCCCTTGTATGCAAGTGTTGACACAGGAGACGATCCAGTGTGCAGTGGAGGGAGGTCCACGGGCTGGAAAAGAAGGGACATAGGGCAGAGTGGTTGCATAAACTCAGGTGAGAAAGAGGCTGGTGGGTCTGGGGAGGAGGGTGAAAGAGAGAAAGGAGTAAGGACACCAAGACAGCGTGGCCTGGTAGCCACCCACAGCAGTGTCTCTGGTGCCCTTGAAACCTCCCTCAGCCCTGGGAAGATGCCATCTCTTATTCCCAGAGCCTTGTCACTGCATCCACAATGGCATTTGATTGTGCCTTGCATTGCAGGACTCTGGGTCCACACCTCATCTCCTCTGCTAGACAGGCCAGGGGACAGGGCCATGCTGTCCCCAGCAGGGCCTGGAACATAACAAGTATGCAGTTATGTTATTATGACTTGAATTTTATGCAACACAACAGAACAAATTGTCTGCTCACCAAGAGTAGGAGATCTTCTTTGGAAACCACAAATGTGATAGCTGAACTCTTCTGCAAGATCTAATTTAGTAGCTGGTTTCCTGCCTTTTGAAGGTTTAGCATAATGGGAACAAATTGTTTACTTTTTGTTGAGTAGCTTCTTTGATACACAGATGGTAGAGGGTGGGAGATAAAGAGGGACATTTATTCTTGAGGCTTGCTGTTTTCTTCCTTGGCTGGTGGTCTTTGAGCCAGGCACCAGAAACTATCTGAGTAACAGTCACTCACAATGTGTTCCATTATGGTTGAACCTACACATTCAGCATTTAGAAATTATCTGCTTTTTTGTTCAACGACAAACTTATCTACTATAATAGCATTACAGAAAATAACTGTATGGAGAATATCTATCTACCTTTGCAAAAGATCGTTTATTTCTAAAAGGAAATAGGGCTTATAAAGTGACATGAGTTCCATTTCCATGAATCCAGCTGTTTAGTGAGTTGGCAGACATCTATTGAGCTCCTCCTGTTTGCAATGCAGAAAGGCATAAGGAGCGCAGAGACCAGGCCACACAGCAAGGCAGCAGTGGAGAGGAAACAGAATGCAGGTCTTCTCATCCGGGCCCTTTCTGCTGTCTGTAAGGTCGCAGCACTGGCCGGGTGGGGTGTGCATTCTTGTTTCCCAGCCCAGAGGGCTACCTGCACAAAATGCATGTTCATGAGTGGCTTACCGTGTGTCACTTCCAGCAAAGAGGCAAAAGAACGAAACAAATCCCAGCTCCCGTTCAGCAAAATCAAGGAGGAACCTGCACTCCAAGCAGATCAAGTCTTTTTTCTCCTCCTGGCCTTCCTGCCTTTGCCACAAGGGTGTTTTATCCCTGTCCTTGTACTCTGGCGACATCAGCGCTGGATGGTGGCCTCAGGGCAGGCAGTGCCCATCATTCCAGCCACCAGGAGAACATTCTCGTATCTTCAAAGCCCACACGAAACAGCCCACCCCACCAGACAGCAGGCATATTTTGACCTCATCTCTTAATTAATGATGGAGGGGGGGGGGAGAATGAATGGGGAGTTATTGATTAATGGATATAGGGTTTCAGTTTCACAAGACAAAGAGAGTTATGGAGATGGGTGGTGGAGATGGTTGCACAATATCATGATTGTATTTAATACCACTGAACTGTGCATTTAAAATGGTCAAGATGGTCAGTTTTATATCATGTGTATTGCACCACAATAAAAAAAAACTGGAGAAAATAGAAGGAACTAGAACCACCTCCCCTCACCCTTGAAAAAAAGAGAAAAGAAATGAAGGAAGAAGTGCTACTCCAGATCCCCTTGCAGCTGCCTGGCTCCCAGTGCAGGCCATGTGACTGCAGCGCTGGGCAGCTCTGTTTATCCTGTCACAGCCAGCCAAGGGCCACGTGAACAAATGAGCTCTCTGGTTTTCAAGCTGAGCATTGGAAAGGGGGTCATCTGAAAGGAGAATAAACCATCAGCGGCAAGCTCAGGTCATAAGAATCCTTGCAGAAGGCTTTGATGGAGAGGTTAAAGAAGAGTGCCCACAAATTCTGTAGGGAATACAAAAGCCTTCAGATGTTTTCTGACACGGCCAGAAGCCACTAGACCCCTCATAGCAGGGAATAGGGCGTATTCTCCAAAGTAGGGTTTCCAACCCTAGTTCTCCCTTTGTGCCAAAACAAGTTTGCTTAAGAAAAACTATTTATTGTATTTTCAATGATTTCTTTCATTAAATTATGATATCTGTACATATTTTAAAATATTGAGCTAAAAGAGAAAAGTGTAATCTGTTTTTTAAAAAAAAGCCTCTAGAGAAAATTTGTAGGATTTGAAATAGGTTTTTACTATGTGCAGTTACTGATTGGATCCCTTTGCACTGTAAGGCTCGTGTCCTTTTCCACGTCCTGTAGATACTGAGGAAGTTATTTACTTAATAACAATTAACCAATGAATGAATGAATGCATGTTCTAGTTGAGTTGTTTTCATTGCTCAAGGTACTTTAAATATGGGATAAATAGTATAATGTTGAATCCTGTTGACCACCTTGATAATATTTTAATAGGAAGTATCTATATTCAAATAAAATAAAAAGAAATTAAGAGACTACTGTTCTTGTCAAAGATCCCAAGCAAAACCATTTTGTGGATTAAAGATGCCAGCACCCAAGACGTGAGGAGCAGAGTGGTGATGTGGTGATTCCCCGGCAGGCTTCCACTCTTCGGGAGAGCTCAGAGAAGCTACAGGAGTGAGAAGAGCCCATGGAAAAAAAAGAAAAAAGGCCAAATGGGGCCTTTCTTCCTACAAGGCTGACCTCAGAAATTCTCTGAAAGACACCCTTCCTTCTACCCCATGCCTTCTCCTCAAATAACAAGATCTACTGGAAATCTCCTTTGTTCCATGAGGCTAACGGTCCTCCAGGTGACACCCCCACTCCTCAACTCTCCACCAGCCACTGGAGCTGGCCACACGAAGCTGGGGCTCCTGGCCTCTCTGCCAACCAGCTGTGTCCGAGGCCACTGCACAACGTCCTCTGTGTCTCTGCTGGGCTCTGGCCTCTGGTAGAAGAGTAGATCCGTAGCCCAGGCATCGAAGATGATCCAAGGGGATAGAAACCGCGTTCTCTGATCTATACATCTGAGCACGGAAAGCACTAGGATGGTGGAAACAGAGGGAGTATGTGAGATATAGGCATTCTAAACTGCCAGGGCCCACAGTGGTTGTACTGGAGACTCCAGCCACCTCTTTGGGTTATCACCCTGGAATGACACCCTGAGCCCCCGTTGGGAGCCCTAAGGCCATATCTGCATGCTATCCACATCCCTATGTGCCGGCTGTGCACCAGAACTAGGGATAAAATGGCAAACCATGCCAAGAAGAACTGAAATAGCTTAGGAAACCCAGTAGGCTCTAAGATTAACCTCATAAACTCCTATTAGTGTATGCTCTCTGGGTCTTATTCATAAGCAATAAACTTTTTGCCAAAAAATATATATTTATATGTCCTGGCAGAGAATTGGGCATATATTCTTTAGCAGATACATCCTAGCTACCATTGAATTAACAATGACAACTTCCAATCTGGACACGTAGAGCCAAGAGGAATGAAACAAATTCCCTTTTCCCGCCTGCATTAGTCAGCTTTTGCAGTGTAACAAATTACACCCCTAAACTTAGTGGCTTAAAATAACATTGATTACATCACCGTTGCTGTGGGTCGGGCGTCCAGATGCAGCTCAGCAGGGCCTCTAGCCCTGGGTCTGTCACAGGGCTACAAGCATCTCGAAGTTCAGCTGGGGAAGGACCCACTTTCCCAGCTCATTCACGTGGTGGTTGGCCAGATCCAGTTTCCCACGGGCTATTGGTTCCTTGCCAGGTGGCCTCTCCACCAAGCATCTACGACACAGCAGGCTGCTTCACCGGAGGGAGCAGGACTGAAGTGCTGTGGGCCTTCCTCAACGTCGACACGTCCCTTTAGAACTGAAACTTGCATGGTGTCCTCTCTTCCAGGGACTTCAACATTTTCCCAATTAAGGACCACTTTTAATTTCCCCAAAGTTCTATGAAAGACCAAAAAATGTGGGGGCTGTTGAGAAAACAGCTGTGACTGCAGGATGTCCCCCTCCCCTTTCCCCACCTCTTGGGAATTCTCATCAGCTTTGGCAAAGCTGCAAGATCATTTAGCGACTGGTTCTGGAACCTGCCCTCCTCTCCAGTCAGCCAGAGCACTCACTGTTCCAAACAGCTGACTTTGGTCAAAACTGCCCTTGGCCAAAATTTCCACAGAAGGGAATCAACCCCCAGGCTCAGAACAAAGTCTCAGGCAAACCAGAACCATCCAAGAGGATTAAAGATGTTCAGGTGTCAGACATTAAAATTATGGTTGGTTTCTCTGCAACTCATTAGAGGAGAAAAAATATAAATGTATTTAAATGGACCAGAGGGGAGTCGTAAGGGACCCTAAGGGCTGAGTGATCTGAACATCAGAGACAACCTTAAAGAGAAAATCTATACTGGCCAGAGTCCAAGTTAATGGAAAATTTAATTGAAGCGAATGAAATGCTCAGCCTCATAGGTGGTGTGGCCTGGTGCCCTTTGAACCAGAAAGGCTGAGCCAAGAGGCCACAGAGGGCCCTAAGGGAAAACGAGCTTATCTGCAAGAACAAGGGGCGGGACCGAGCCTGAGAATAGAAAACCTGCAAACCTCCACCACAGCCTCAAGAAAGGCTGCCCGAGGGGAGGGAGGAAATCTTCTGGTTTCTGCCACCAACAAGTCCCTTAGAGGTTTGCAGCAGAAGTCCCCTCTGCGTCCAACAGCACCAGCACGTGCTGGGAGCCAGCGGTCCCCCAGAGGAGAGTGGGAAAGGCTGCCAGGTGGCAGAGACAAAACCTCCAAGGTAGGCACCAACGCGCCTGTGTCCGCTCTGAGCGAAACAGGTGCAGGCTCCCGGTCAGCGCTGACGCTTCCTGGGCCCTCTGTCCTGCCCTGCAGCTCTGTCCCCTCCCACAGGTCTGCCGCTCTGCAGTCCCGAGCTCGCTGGTAGGGCTCTCTCAGTGGGCAGCTGGCTAAGCCCCAGATGGTGGCTACCCCACAGCTCTTGAATCTGCCCACGGCATCCCTGCCTTTTCTAATCCGGGTGTCAGGGCTGGGACCTGTGGTGCCGCCACCTTCTTCAGCAGCCAAGCCAAGCCGAGCACACGTGGAGCCCTCTGCACGCTGACCACAGCCTGGGCAGAGCTGCGTGGCCGGCTGGGCTGGGCGGACCTGCTAAGGGGCTGGTGACCGACTCTGAGAAAGGCAGAGGCTGGCGGCCTGGGGGAAGGTGGCAGTGCTGACTACGGAAAGAGTCACTGTGCAGCTAGCTGCTCCCTCAACTGCGAAGTTAGGACTGGTGCCTGGAAATGAGCTGGGGAGAGGAGCGGGAGAGTGTGTGTGTGTGTGTGTGTGTGTGTGTGTGTGTGTGTGTGTGTGAGAGAGAGAGAGAGACAGAGACAGAGACAGAGACAGAGACAGAGAGAGGAACAGAGACAGAGGAGACAGACAGAGAGAACTGTTTAGAGACAAGAAAGAATAGTATCTAAGACTCTGGAATTTTGGGGTTCTTTCTTTATCGGCTAAATAGGTATTATATGAGAATAATTTTGCAGATGTTGCTTTTCAAGGCTCCATTTGGTTAGAGAATCTAAGTAAAATGCCAGTTTAATTTTCAAAATACAATCAATAGTCCAAGCTCACTTAACTGTGAGCAGTTAAGTCTTGCGTCCTAAATCAGAAGAGAACTAAAACTTTGTGGAGTGTTTACAGTTTAATACACAGCCCCTTTTCCCTATCGGTGCTCTCTGTGCTTTGGGACTTTCTCTTTCTCTCTCTGGCTCTTGGCTTTCTTCTTCCTACCCCCTCTTCCTTTCTCTGCTTCTCTCTTTGGAGGTTCACAACTGACCCTCCAGGACTGCAGCAGGAATGGGCTGCACCAGTGGGTGTCCTGGGAGCCCAGGGTGCAGGGGCATCCTCTAACCCCACCTTCTGCCCCGGGCCTCCGCAGGAGTGAGGGGGGTGGGGGGAGTCCACTTACTCTGGATGCAGAACGCTGAAGCTTTGTTCCCCAAACTAGGAGGCTGAGACGTGGTTCAGATTCACATGCAAAGGGCATCCCTGAGACTTGGGTGGGCTTGAACTCTTCTAGAGTGGTCTTTGGCCTCTCTAATAGGCAGACTTTATACGCAGTGGCCAGAGGGAACCACGGTCCACAGACAGATTAGCAATGGTGAAAAAATAAATCAGGCTCTCCCGAAAGTTCCGAAGATACTAAACCCTAAAAATGCAGCAGATTTCTTTGAACGCGCCATTTGTGCATTTGCCTATTTAAGCATGTTGTTGTGATTGTATAAAAAACAGATTATTCTCTTTTTTTTTTTCCTGGAGGAAAGATTTAATGATTTACAAGTGGCAACATTAGTCTCTTGGATGGACACAGAGAGTTATAAAAAGCCTGTCATCTACCCTGCTTTGTTTAGCGGCGTTCTCTGCAGCAATCGAATGGCCTTAAATAGAGCCTGGGTTGGATCTCCTTGTTTATGGGAGGTGCCAGGGTAACGAGACAGCTTATTTCAGATAAGGAAGGATTTTGCAGGGGTCCAGGAGGAAATGATCGTGAAGATCTTTACCTGTCAGCCCTGCGGTTTGCCGGGAGTCTGTGTGTGGGAGTTTGGGAGTTGGATCCTCCGAGAGGTCTGCTGGCCCCATCTGCTGTTCGCTCGCCAGTCAAGCCACAAAACTGCTCGAAACGTGTGGTTCTCTCTCTGAACGCAAATTTGGTGCTTTCTTTTTTACCTTTCTTTTTTTAAGTAGTGGATTTAAGTAACAAACATATGTCATAATTCAATTAAATTCTTAATCTACTACAAGTTCTGCATACCTATAAGTCATCTGCGTGTATGTTGGATGATATATTGATTTTGAGTAGTACGAAGAATATGTATGTAGCAGTCATTTTTTAAAATGAAGCATGAGGGACTAGGATTAGATGTCAGAAAGAACTTTCAGGCAATGAGATTTGTAGTACAATGGCCTACCTGTGAGGGAGATTGTAAAATCTCTTTTGTGGAGCTTCTAAATAAGAGACTTGGTTCTCTACTTTAATTTCCTCTCTAGACACCAGCCTGCCTGAAGAGAGGGGTTGGAGTTAGCTCACTGCCTTCCAAATGTTCGCTTTACCACCTTCACACTTTTTATGATGTCTGAGTAACACCTGTAGAACTGTTTGCTAGAGGTATTCCTTTAAGTTGGTCCATTTCTTCTAACTTTAGCCTTTAGACAGCTGTAGCAATGATTTCGTATCAGTGAAATCATTGTTTGATGTGCTAATTGTATTGTGTTGATGTATATCAAAATATATATGACTATACAAAACCATTTGCCTGTTGTAGGTGGAGCTGTGTCTTCCAAAAAGATAATATGTTCAAATCCTAATCCCTGGTACCTGTGAATGGGAATTTATTTGGAAATAGGGTCTTTGCAGATATAGTCAGGTTACCATGAGGTTGTACTGAATTAAGGTGGGCCTGAACCCCATGACTGGTGTCCTTAGAAGAAGAGGGAAATTTGAACGCAGACACATGCAGGGAGATTGGAGTGATGTGTCTACAGCCTAGGAACTCCAACGATTGCCGGCCGCCACCAAGAGCGAAAGAGAGGCCAGGAAGGATCCTTGCCTAGAGCCCTGAGCGGGAGCTTGGCCCCGTCCATGCCTTGATTTCACACTTGTAGCCTCCAGAACTGAGAGTGAATTTCTGTTGTTCTAATCCACCCAGTTTATGGTAATTTCTGCAACCCTAAGAGATGAATACACCTGTGTTCCACCTAAGGTCGTCCCCTGTCCCACCAGAGGGACACATTTAATGCCTGGGGAAATGCTGGGCTGGGTGCCCTGTGGAGGTCCCTCTACTTCCTCTAGTTGAATGACGATGGCCATCATCGCATCAGTCATTTTTATGCTCAGATACGATGTGTCAGCAGCCCTATTTATAAAAGTGAGTAAAATGCTGTTATAGTCAGGTTTGAATGGATCAATTTCATCGGTCTGAAAGCCACTGTGGTGTGTGCATCTGAAGGTGTGGCTCACTCGTGGTCTCCCCAGGAGCCACTCTGCAGAGCCGTGTCCGGGGGCTTGGCGGTCTGTGTCGCCGCTGTCCACCTGGCAGACTTTGGAATCACTGGCTCATCCTTTGCAGGGCAGGGGGCTATTGCCTGATGCTCTCTAAAGTTGGTTTTCCCTTCTGATTAATTCATTTGCATCGTAGCCCAGGGGCTGGCTCTTGTTACCTATGATCTCACCCGTGGTCTTTTCGTCAGCAGTTTTCAAACCAATAAAATGTGAGTTCCCTTGTTCCCCATTCCCACTGTCTGTCATAGGGGAATGATCTTCCATCTGCATCTGTATTTCTCAATCTGCATAATGCAGATTATCTGCATCCTTACCTTCCCCTAGCAGCATTGTGTAGGCACGTTTAATTTAGATTTAAAATATTTAATAGACAGAATAAAACGTTTTCATTTAAGTCTTGCTTTCATTGTTTATCGCAAATCTACATAAAGAATTTATATGTACACCCTTTATATTATAAATTTTAATGCATCTTCAGTGTAATGGCAGCCTTACTGCTAACAATGGCCCAAATGTTTACTCAGTAAATATTTATCGAGCGCCTCCTCTGTTCCAAGCACTGCCAGATACTGTGTGTAGCTTCCTCATATACACCAAAGCAACTGCCATGTGGGACACAAAAAGGATCAGTGTCCCAGACTGTGAGAACTTTCCAATGAAGGGAACGTAAGGACAGCCTTACTGCTAACTGGCTTTAGAATGAGGCTGGCCTATGCTAGATGCTCAATAAATGTTAGTTTTCCTTTCCCTTTCTCCATTCAGGACGCAGACTAGTATATAGCTCCACAGCCAGGTCCTTTTCGGAATCTTCCTTCACACGGCTTCTGACCCAGAGGGAAGAGGCGCAGTAGAGGCCATCGGGGCAAAGGTGCAGAGTTCCGGCTTCCCCAAGTCCCCTTGCATGACTTCATCAGCCAGGCAGACTTGGGCACAGAGCTTGCGTACCATACCCCCAGGCTGCTCAGCTTCCTTGGGTCCCACTGGCCAAGCAATGTTTGCCAGATTTAACTGCACAAAACTCTTGAGAATGTGCTCACGGCCTCCAGTCTGAAAAACACTGGGCTTCTGCAAACAACTTTTTTTTTAACAGCTTTATTTCAGTATAATTTATATATCATACAATTCACCCATTTAGGGGCACAATTCAATGGCTTGTAGTATATTTACAGATATATGCAAGCATCACTACAGCCAATTGTAGAATATTTTCATCACCTCCAAAAATACCCCACATACCCTTTAGCTATCACCCCCTATACCCCCAGCCCCTAAGCAAACACTAATCTACTTTTTGTCTCTATAGATTTGCCTATCCTGAACATTTCATACAAATGGAATCATTTAGTATATGGTCTTTTGTAGCTGGCTTCTTTACCTAGTATACTGTTTTAAGGTTCTTTCTCATAGTGGCATGTATCAATATTTCATTCCTTTTTATGCTAAAATAATATTCCATTATATGGATATACCATGTCTTTTTTTTTTTTCATTCATCATTTGATAGCCATTTGGGTTGTTTCCACCTTTTGGCTATTATGAATAATGCTGTTGTAAATATTTGTGTACAAGTTTTTATGTAGACATATGATTTCATTTCTTTTGGGTACATACCCAGCAGTGTAATTGCTGGGTCATATGGTAATTCTACTGTAAGCATTTGAGGAAGTGTCAGGATGTTTTTCAAAGTGGCTGCACCATTTTATATTCCCACCAGCAGCATGTGAGAGTTCCAG